GCTATGGCAAACGCTGTATGCTGTGATGAAAAAATTCCAACTAAACCAGTTTTTTTGACCTTTTATAAGTAATTCATGTTTACTAAAAACTACAAAAACCTAAAAACCACAAGTACACGGACGTTCTGAGCTATATTAAAACACCGCTGCTAATAGTTCCACCATAACACCTCTATTCATCAGTAAAATCCTAACATGTAATGCTGCCAAAAAATTAGAGACAGCACCTATGAAATTAATAGAAACACGGTGACCGAATGTTACAATTGGTTCTCACTAAAAAGGTTAAATTTGAATTAACGCTGACAAATCATTTTTTCAGGAAACAATAGTGGAGAAGAAAAATCATAGAACAGCTCAGATGCGTAGCGAAGTTTAAATTTAGGGTAGACTTATTAAAGCAACTAAGTTATTTTCAGAAAAAAACGCACAGTGAGTACACCTGGTTGAATAATTGACTGACTTATCGTTAAGATAGGCATTTTCAGATTGCATTCATTGATTTTAGAGAAAAAAAAACTTTTAGCTTCTTTTGAGATGGACTTATTGCACTAAAGAAACCAGCAGTTTTGTTTCCACAAATCATACACAGTGGTTTCTTCACTTTTCTTTTCGCCCCAACACTTTGAATTGTCATACAACAAATGCCTGAATCACATAAAAGAAGAAGAATGAAAACAAAACAAAAAGAACTGTAAAATTCACAGAGACAAATTACTTATTCAATTTATCAAACCTAATCAATCCTTCCTTTAACGATTTCCCTCCACGCTGTACAACATCATTTGGTTTTAACTACTACATTAAGAAAAAAATTACATCAAAGAGCAAAAATTAATGAAAGCAAAACAGTCAAGAATTGATCAACAAGAAAACTTCAAGATAATTATTTGTAAATTTAACACGACATAATAAGTCAAAGTAACACTTGAAGCAATTATTTTCAACCACAATGTACTGCACCACAAAAGCACCTGAAAGCCCAGAAAAAAATTTTTTTTAATATCAAAAATTAAACGTTGCTTCTAATCAGTTCTGCACAACATAGGTGCAAATCCGCCAATTCAACAAAAGTTTAGAAATGTAAAAGAAACTTAACGTATCATAATATTACAGCAACAAATAATCAACTAATTGATTGATCATATTCAAAAAAAACTACGGCTGTGAAAATGGCAGAGAAATGCCTTTCAGCACTACGTCTTAACTCTTTTTTCCCTATTTGTTTTGTTTTACGTAAATTTAGAGTCTGATAACCAACTAAATAGTAAACACATAAGAATAACACCTCTAAATAGAAAGGATATAAAAGACAACAACAACGTTTTTAAAAAAAACCGAAAAATTCTAAAGCATTGCAGCTGGAACGTCTTGTTAGTCGATCGTTTCGACAAAACATTTGTCACCAGCGAAAAATTAGTTCAAAAGAAAGTGAAATTTTTGCTGCCCCTATGCAAATAGGTGCTGAAAAAAATTAAAAGATTAAGCATAAAAACTGATAGTTAAGGCAACACTGTAAAAGTGAGCTGAAAATGGTACAAATTACGCTGATGGTTGAAATAAACAAGGATTGTGACATCAAATAAACTGTGAAAGCGATAGGAAACAAAAAACTGCAAATGTCCGCGGTCAACTGGGCAGACCCTAACAAAATTAGGTAAACAATTTCGATCTCATTTTTTACCCTCACTGCATCACTCATACAGGAGCATTCACCCATCTAACTTTAGTCCGTCATATACAAATAAACATGACACAGAGAGAAACTACCATTTTTACAGACAAAAAAGCGTTTTTCATCCTGAATTTTAAACTCACTTGGAATTTCAACCCATAAGTACAATAAATGCAAGAAAAAAAATAGAGAGAATTAGAGAGATAATAGAATTTTAAAAAAAATGAATATTTCCGCAGTAACCAAAAAAGAATATTTCCTTCTTTTTATTCTTGTCAACATTTTATTTTCTTCGCTGTTCCTTCTAAGCTTCTTTTTTAAGCAGTTTTTTAGACTGAATGATTCTGATAAGCTCAGCAGTGCTAATGTTGCCTGTTTGAAGACCCATTACGTTCAGAAATTGATAGTTGGCGAATCCTGGACAGCGAGAAACAGCATTAAGAAAGTTGGACAGCGCCACTCCATCTCGGCCAAGACAGCCGCAGTTGTTCCTGTACCAGTCCGGTCCACGATGGCGGTTATCATCACGACCACCTTGGGCACCACCACCACACCCATAACAAATTTGTTACTTGCTTATGCAGAACTTTGCCAGACAAGAACAACAATAAAAAGTTCAAGCCTTATTCAAATCAGTTTGCAAATTTAATACTCTGCATCACCGCTATCGTATCACTTTGGATTTTGTCAGCTTTCTATTGTTCTCCCTCTACACTCCTTTCAAAATGCGCCTAACGATAGCTACAAGGCAACAGAAGCCACAACGAAGTTAGAGCCAAAAACGACAACTATGTCGTTTTAGATGGTCTGAATACAGACAACAATTTTAGCAAAATCAAACTAGTGATTCTTTATCAAAATGACAACTGTCAAAAATATTTTTTCATGTATTTGATTTTAAGAGCAAAGAAAGAAAAAGGAAGAATTGCAATTAAGTGAAGGAATCGGTCGAGTGGATGAAGAAGAAAAAATGCAGAAAACGTTGCCATCAAATTTATAGCTGAGAGCACAATAAGGGAATGGAAGAAAACCAAGGTTTCATTTGATTTTTACGCAGATGACACCTGCTGAGTCAGCAAGCCACCGGTTATTTTTCTGCCATTATTATTCAGGTTTTTATTTATTTATTTAATTTTTTTCTAGTGATAGTGTTTCTTCTTTTCTTTAATTATTGAATAAAAATAATAAATTTTTTTCTGTTTTCTCAATCAAAGTTTTTATCCTGATTTTCCTGTATTCATAAATTTTAGCAATTCTTACTAATCCACTGAACTAACAAACTTAATTGTTAATTGTTTAATTGTTAAACTTAATTGCGCTAACAAACTTAATTGTTCACTTTGTCATTCGCTTGATTGACAAGTGTTTTCTTCTTCCTTCACTTTCACTTCTTTTTATTTCCTTCGACTTATCTGCAAGATATGGTTTTGAAAGTTTGCTGTTTGTTATTTTCTGAAGAAGTGAACAAAAAATGACTAAAGAATTTTGAACTCAATAATGGAGGTGACTCTATGACCGCAAAAGACAGTAGGCGGTAGTGCTGGGGGAGTAAATTTATGGCTGTTTGGTCTACAAAGGCCATCAAGTAGTCCGGTAGAGTAACATTATTTTAAAAGAGCGAAAGCAAAGAAGTAGCCCTTCAAAGCTATCTTTTATGCTACTAGTCAACCAGTCGGCTTCTATTAACAACAGACAGGTCTTATAAGGCAGCTGGTTGTTTAGACTGTTTTTCGTCTTGCTTATGACTTTTGCTCAGACTGCTGTAACCGACATTCGTTAGTTAGTTAGCTGGCAGTGGAAGAAAGCACTGTTGGTATCAGTGTTGAAGCCAAAACAAAAGAACATCAGCTCAGCAAACAAATCAACCCTGACCAGTACGGAATGGTGACTGAATTAAACAAAAAAAAATTGTGGGGAACAATACAGCGTAAGAGCAAAAAAATCAAAAAAAGACTAATGAAAACAAGGAACTGCTGTAGAGCGTTCAACATACGAACGATGTGATGTGAGCTCTGCCGCATCAGTCCACTAAAATTCCCTGTATTTGTAAGCA